TGAGACACTTTTTTGCTTTTTCGAACGTTTTCAAACGTTTTTCAGAGTAAAAACGCAATAATTTCGTTAAAAACAATACATAAATTATTCTTTTGGTGTTGTTTTGTAATTTTTGGGAGTTTAAGCACGTTTATGAACAAGAAACTAATTTTTTTTCGAAATCTTGCTAAACAAACACAAAAATTATGAAATTGGGTCCAAAATGAGACAATTTTGGCTTTTTTTCGCTCATTTCAGCATGTTTTTCAGCAAAAAATGCAATTATCACCAAATTAAGTAAAATTAACATATATTTGCCTTTGTTTGTGAAATTTTCAAACGTTTTCCAGTCAGAAACGACAATTTTTTCAGAATGTTTCATAAAAAATAAAAACATCTCAAAAATGAGACACTTTTTAGAAAGTTTTCAAACGTTTTTCAAACTAAAAACACGATGATTTCGTAAAATTTCGTTAAAAGCTATACAAAAATTATTCTTTTGATGTTTTTTTGTCATTTTTAAGAGTTTAAGCACGTTTATGAACGCGAAACTCAAATTTTTTCTGAAATTTTGCTAAACAGACACAAAAATTATAAAATTTGATCGAAAATGAGACGTTATTTCAGCATGTTTTTCAGTAAAAAATGCAATTATTTTGCCCAAAAACAAGCTGAAAAATGTGAGATTTTCAAACGTTTTTCAGTCAGAAACGACATTTTTTTCAGAACGTTTCATATAAAAAAAAACGTTTCATAATTCGAAAATCATGAAATTAAGTCAAAAATGAGACATTTTTTCACCTTTCTCGGATGTTTTAACACGTTTTAAAGTAGAAACGCAATTATTTAACAAAATTTTGACAAGAATAACACACAAAAAATATCAATTTGATGTTATTCATTCATTTTTTGAGCGTTTCAGAACGTTTTTAAGTCAAAAACGCAAATTTCATCAAAAATAAGTTAAAAAATTACTAAATTAAGAGGAAACCCTGTTTGTTTTCCTAACTTTTTGAATGTTTAAGTATGTTGCTGAAGGAAAAACTCAATTTTACGTTGCTTTGTTTCAATAAAATTCATTTATAAAAAAAAGTAGTTTTCTTTAGGGAATTTTGACTCGACAATCTAGGGACAAGCGCTTGACCCCATCTGGCATCACTGCTTATGGTAATAAAGAGTGCTAACTTACCGACATGGATGTAGTCCTCAGCCGGCTTGAGGACGTCCAAAATATTAATTCGTCTCAAATTCGCTTGTAATTGGACGTTGATTTGGACCAAACCTTGGCCTTGGACACATTGCTCGACTAGATTTTTATCATTTTCCAACTGAAAAACAGCGATTGTGGGAAATTCGATTAATTGTCAAATAATCACACCATTTGGGCCCCTTGCAAATAAAACGAATAGTCGGCGAGACTCAAGCCCAGTCTTTGTTCCAACAACTGTCGCAGTTTGAGGAGGGGCTCCTGGATGTCCATATGTTGCATTATGAGACTCGAATGTGTGTCTTCGACGTTCATCAAATCCGAATCCAATTCCTGCATCAAATGATCGTCAAAATCGCTCGCACTTTCGAGCGAACTGATCATTCCTAAATGAACCGAATCGTCATCGGTTGTCATTTCCTCGAAATCGTCACTTATGACACCCGGAGACTCCAAATTGATGCCTTGAGAGGGCACCATATTGCCCTCATCGTCAATCACAAAGCTGGAAGTGAGGTTAGGTTAGGCTACTATTAAATGTACTCTCACCTTTTCGACTTGTCGGTTTGAGATTTATAGACTTTTTGGCCGAATTCGTTCTGGGTTAAGATAAATGTTTGCACTTTTGGCTTCTCTGACATTGTTTATGTTTTTTTTAAATGTCATTTGTCATCTGTCAAGTTTGACTTGTGCATCAAAGTAGTCGTTGAGAGGGATCATTTTAAGGTGGCGACCCTGCGAAAATTATCTAAATCTTCTCTAAAAAATATTTTCTCAAATAAATATCTGTACCCCAGTTTTTGAGGTAGCAAAAAATAACCAATAATTAAAATAAAAAACGTATTTGTCATTATTAATGTGATTAAATTTGTTCTGAATGACATTAATGACACTTTTTGTGTGAATCGGCCTTTAAATTAAAGATGCATTTAGACTTCTACAACCTACTTGATGCACATTGATATGAAAAAGAGTATACAGTCAAATGCCCTTTAAATAAGCTTCATTTTCTGAAAAAATAGAAAAAATCGATACATTGTATTATTAACGAATTTTGAGAAAACGAAAAAAAATCATTACAGTTCTAAAAAGCCATTGTATCCCTACCATTTTTTTACAGTCAAATGCCCTTTTAATAATCTACATTTTCGGCAAAAATGAAAAAAATCGATACACGGGATGACACTTGAAAAAAATAAAGTTTGTATTAGTAACGAATTTTGAGAAAACGAAAAAAATTCATTACGGCCATAAAAAGCCACATTTTTTTTCAGTCAAATGCCCTTTTACCAAACTTCATTTTCTGCAAAAATGAAAAAAATCGATACACGGGATGACACTTGAAAAAAATAAAGTTTGTATTATTAACAAATTTTGAATAAACGAAAAAAATTCATTACAGCCCTAAAAAGCTATTGTAACCCTACCATTCTTTTACAGTCAAATGCCCTTTTAATAAGCTTCATTTTTTGCAAAAATGAAAAAAATCAATACACAGGAAGACACTTGAAAAAAATAAAGTTTGTATTATTAACAAGTTTTGAGAAAACGAAAAAAATTCATTAGAGCCCTAAAAAGCCATTGTAACTCTACCATTTTTTACAGTCAAATGCCCTTTTAATAAGCTTCATTTTCTGGAAAAATGAAAAAAATCGATACACGGGATGACACTTGAAAAAAATAAAGTTTGAATTATTATCGAATTTAGAAAAAACGAAAAAAAAATCATTAGAGTCCTAAAAAGCCATTGTAACCCCAGCATTTTTTCACATTCAAATGCCCTTTTAATAATCTACATTTTCGGTAAAAATGAAAAAAATCGATACACGGGATGACACTTGAAAAAAATAAAGTTTGAATTATTATCGAATTTTGAAAAAACGAAAAAAAAATCATTACGGCCCTAAAAAGCCATTGTAATCCTACCTTTTAATAGGCTTCATTTTCTGCAAAAATGAAAAAAATTAATGCACGGGAAGACACTTGAAAAAAATAAAGTTTGTACTATTAACGCATTTTGAGAAAACGAAAAAAATCCATTACAGCCCTAAAAAGCCATTGTAACCCTACGATTTTTTTACAGTCAAATGTCCTTTTAATAAGCTTCATTTTCTGCAAAAATAAAAAAAATCGATAAACGGGATGACAGTTTAAAAAAATTAAGTTTGTATTATTAACGAATTTTGAGAAAACGAAAAAAATTCATTACAGCCCTAAAAAGCCATTGTAACACCACCATTTTTTTTACAGTCAAATGCCCTTTTCATAAGCTTCATTTTCTGCAAAGATAGAGAAAATCGATACACGGGATGACACTTGAAAAAAATAAAATTTGTATTTTTAACGAATTTTCAGAAAACAAAAAGATTCATTACAGCCCTAAAAAGCCATTGTAACCCAACCATTTTTTACAGTCAAATGCCCTTTTAATAAGCTGCAAAAATCGATACACGGGACGTCAAATGTAATAAATTAAATCATTTTGAAAGGAATAAAAAAAAACACTTTTTTTGACACTTTATTGATCAACCCTCACCCCGTACCCCCCCAAATCTGTAAAAACCGCCCCAAACCCCTTCTTTTTCAGCTCGGCTATAACCTCGTCGACTCTTTCCTGACCATAGGGTGGTACCACACAAATCGCACACCCACCACCCCCCGCCCCTGTCAATTTCCCATGTAGCCCAAACTCGGCTAATGTCTCACACGCCTCGTCCAATCTCGGATGTGACACTCCCAAACAACGCAAAAGATTCTGGTTGACATCAACCAATTCCTGGATAAAACAAAGTCAAATTTTTTTCAACGTCCCCAAAAAAACCCACCCCCAATGCTTCATATAATTCCAAAACATCTGAATTATCGATTTTTTGAAGATAATCAAGTGCCTTGATTGTTGTTTGGTCCATGGCGTCCAAAATGGCGTCGATTATTGGCCGGTATTTGACACGTTTGGACGCTACTTTACCGACCAAGTGTTTGGTGTCACGTGGGGTGTTGGTGTTGATCAAAATAAGGGTGAGTTTTGATGACAGTTGAATGAGATGAGGGGTTGTGCTTTTACGGAATGAGACTAGACCACCAAAGGTGCAAATTGTGTTGTCCACTCCTGTCAAAATTACAGAAATCTGTAATTTTTTTTTTTTCAAAATACCTGATGGTGTTCCGTGGATGATTCTCTCGCTTTGAAACGCCCATTTGGACACCAAATCCAGCTCGACTTGATCAAAACCGTTCAAATTTTCTAAATTCAACTCTGTAATAGTTTTGTAGAAAAATTTCGATTCAAATTTTTTGATTTTGATAAATTGGAGAAGAAAAGCTGCAATTGTGACGGCAAAAGAGGCCGAACTTCCGGTTCCGGCCCCCACTGTCAAATCCGAACGTAGTGTTAATTTGAATCGTTTCAAAACCGAATCGGTACTTCCCAAAATTGTCCAAAATAAATAAAAAAATGAAATTAAAGCTTGACGTTGTTTAGGCTCCTGAAACTTCACACTGACAAAAGTTTCGATAATTTTGACGACTTCCTCATGACTTAAAAATTCCGGATGGCTTAAATTGTAGTAGGCGGGGGGTTTCGTCAATGGGATTGGTGTGGCAAGAAGTTGGTGGATGTCCTAATTATTTCAATTAAAAAAAAAACAAACTCAATTAAAAATAAATAAATAACCTTGAAATTGTAACAATGTGAGATTCCAAGGTCACAAAACTCCACCTCCCCTCCCTCCCCCTCCTCAAATTCGCAAAACTCCAATCGCGTCCTTAGACCTAAACTAGCCGCCAAAGCCAACTTATCATAAACTACTGAATGTTCACCGTGCAAAATCACTTTACCAGGTGCGGAAATACAGATTCCTGTAAAAAAAAACACACAAGTTGTAGAAAAAATGTATAATTTCGTGTACTACTAACGGAGTGATGCCATTATTGTTCTTTCCACTGTTCCGGTGTGAAAGTTTTCTGTGAGAATGCGTGAATTGATTTGAGTTCTTCTTGAAGCACTGAATTCACCAAACGGTGTCTTTGGAGGAGTGGTTTGCCGCGGAACTTTTCGGAGACGATGACGCACGAGAATTTGCCTCCGCAGCCGTCGGATTCGTCGATGACTTCCTAGAGAAAAGGGTCAAAGGTGGAGAGTTCAGTAACTAAAAATAACACTTTTCTTTGGCTTTTCACACATAGTGCTGACTTTTTGCCAATTTGGAAAGGTTCAATTGTTCAAAATTTTAAACGTGTTTTTCTCTAATCAAAAAACGCAAAATTTCGCTAAATTGAGACAAAAAAATTACTAAATTAGGTCCAAATGACGATTTTTTTGCCTTTTTTTTTTGTAAATTTTGTTAAAAGCAAGACACAAATTATCCTTTTGATGTTGTTTCATCATTTTTGAGTGTTTAGAAACACATTTTTTTCTGAAATTTTGCTAATTAGGAAAAAAATCATTAAATTAGGTCGAAAATGAGACAACTTTTGCTTTTTAGCATTTTTTTAGGAAAAACTTGCAATTATTTTGCAAAATTTCGTCAAAAATAAAAAATTAGGTCCCAATCACGAAATATTTGCCTTTTTCGGGAGTTTTCAAAATGTTTTTAAGGTAGAAACGTAATAATACTGCAAAATTTTGTTAAAAATAGTACAAAAACCAGCAGATTAGTGTTATTTTTGTCATTTTAAAATTACGCACATTTAGGTATGAACTAAAAACAGTTTTTTTTTTTTGAAATTTTACCTAACAGATACAAAAGTCATGAAATTAGTTCGAAAATAAGACAATTTTTGCTTTTTTCGCTCATTTCATCATGTTTTTCAACAAAAAATGCAATTATTTTGACGAAAAAATCACCAAATTAAGTCAAAATAACACATAACTATTTGCCTTTGTGACAATTTTTTCAGAATGTTTCATAAAAAATCATAAAAGTAAGTCAAAAATGAGACACTTTTTTGCCTTTTTAGGAAGTTTTCAAAGGTTTTTTTAGCGTAAAAACACAAAAATTTCGTAAAATTCGTTAAAAACTATACATAAATTCTTTTGATGTTTTGTCATTTTTAAGAGTTTAAGCACTTTTATGAATAAAAAACTCAATTTTTTTTTGAAATTTCACTAAACAAGAAAAAAAACATCAAATTAGGTCAAAAATGAGACAATTTTTGCTCTTTAGCACGTTTTTTAGAATAAAATGCAATTATTTCGCAAATAAGCTGAAAAAAATCACTAAGTTAGGTCCAAATAACGGAATATTTGCCTTTTTCGGGGATTTTCAAAACCTTTCTCAGAAAGACACGCAATAATTTCGCAAAATTTTGTTAAAAACAATACAAAAAATAATGTTATTTTTATCATTTTTGAAATTACATTAAGCATATTTATAAAGTACTCAATTTTTTTCTGAAATTTTGCTAAACAGACACAAAAGTCATGAAATTAGGTCGAAAATGAGACCATTTTTACTTTTTTTGGGTCATTTCAGCATGTTTTTCAGCAAAAAATGACAAAAACAAGCTGAAAATATCACCAAATTAAGTCAAAATAACACAAATTTGCCTTTTTTGTGGAATTTTCAAACGTTTTTCAGTCCAAAATCAATTTTTCAGAATGTTTCAAATAAAATTCAAAAATCATGTCAAAAATGTCCTTTCGCCTTTCTCGGATGTTTTAACATATTTTAAAGTAGAAACGCAATTATTTAACAAACTTTTATCAAAAATAACACACAAAATTATCAATTTGATGCTGTTTATTCATTTTTTGAGCGTTTCAGAACGTTTTTAAGTCAAAAACACAATTATTTCGCAAAATTTTATCAAAAATAAGTTTGAAAAATTACTAAATTAAGAGAATATCCTGTTGTTTTTTAACTTTTTGAGTTTTTAAGTACGTTTCTGAAGGAAAAACTCAATTTTTTTCGAGGTTGTTTTCTTGAACCAAAAAACAATCTAATTACGACGAAAATGACAACGTTCTTGCATTTTCGAGCGTTTTTCAGCAAGAAATTCAATTATTTATCAAAATTTTGACAAACCAATTCGAAATAATACCAAAAAAAAGTAAAAAAAAATTCAATAAAAATAGGTCAAAATAGTATTTATCAGTTGGTTTACATTGCGTAGAAACACAAAATGTTAAAAATAAACGAAAAAATTACTAAATTGGTCAAAACGTCCCCTTTTTCAAGCAGTTAAGCACGTTTTTAGGGAAAAAACTGGTGATTAAGTGAGAAATAAAACCAAAATTCCCCAAATTAACGTTTATTTACACTTAAGACGACTTAATTTTAACATTTTTAATCGCATCGAACTCTTGCGGTATTTGCAACTGTTTGATATTAAAATAAATAAAAAAACCAAAGAAATGCAAAGCTGAATAACCAGAAATCAAAAGTGGGAACAAATCAGGATACCGTTCCGGTGGTTCAAACACCAAAAGAGCAAACGAGAGAACTAAACACCCAATCAGTGACGTAACCAAAACCACATGAAACGCCAAATTTTTCAACGTTTCTTTATTTTTCACAATTTGTTTGTAAGTTAATTTCAAAATATCGATTTGTGTTGCTTGTTTATATTCAATATCTAGCAAAACATGCAAAAGACTTCGATAATATTCCGCTAAACCATCACTAGCATTTAAGGAACTTCGATAAAAATGCTCTATTGAAACCCGAAAAGAAATAACATAAAAAAGCATAAGAGCAATAGTCGCAATAATCAAGCCATCTTTGTACAACAACGGCAACATACTAAAAACAGAAACACACAAAAACCAAAAACAAACAAACGGTTTCTGGGGGAAATACAGCACGACAGGAATACCAACCAATAAAATACTCTTCTCGTGCACTTGATAACTAAACAAAAAAAACGCCAACGATGAATTAATCAACGACAAAACAAACTTTTTACGACTTGGACGCAAAAACAAATCAACACTTGAGGGAAAAACCATTGAAATGGTCGCAAATAAACAAATACGCATCATTTCGTAATTAGAAAATTTCAAACGTAATTTGTAAAAAACATTTAACACACACCAAAAATTCGAAACTTTATCCTCAAAAACGCCACGATTCAACGGAAATAAACGTTGCAAAACTGGGATAAAATCGAACAAAAATGGCGCCCAAAAAATGACAAATGACGTTAGAACTGTCATTGCGATTTGTGCCAACTTGATGAGACTCGATGCAAGATTTTGGCCCGGTTTTGGTACACATGAACTTAACATGTACATGAAAAATGGCAGTGCATGGTATAGCTCCATCTGTTTGTAATTAAGGGCACCACAAAACAAAATGGCGGCGATAATATTACAATCGAGTAGGAGACAAGTTGTGGCGAAAATGAGGAGTCCCAAAGACACGCAATTATACTGGAAGTGTCCGTGGTCGATGAGGATGATCCCGGGGTACAATAGCCCCAAAATGGTGGCTAAGGAGGCCGACAAAGGCCTGGTTTTCTTGTCCCCACTTTGACCCTCCATTGCATAAAAATAGAAAATAAGTCCCGGGATGTATAACACGATATCAGCCCCCAGGACTGTATACCGCATGAAAATCTTGTGTTGTTCACTCTCGAAGCCCCTCGAATCGTGCAATTTCGTCCAATTTCCATTAAAAAAATTTGCGATTTTCCCACAAATAAACATATGGTAGGCGGTGAGTGGGGGGTAATCCAGCCCCCAATACAACAAATCATTATCAGTACTGTTCTTGTACCACTCGGTGGGCCCCAAATTCGTCGTTACTTCCATCCAATGGCGTTGTGCCTCGTAATCGCCGTACATCGGGGGGCTACCCTCCCCCGAATAGGGGTGCAATGTGGTACATGCACGTAATAGGACAGCCACAAGAGCCCCCAGGATCACCAACCACACTTCGCAACTGATTTTCACACCGAACATGTTTTAAGTTTGAGGTTAGGGTGACTTTTTGACAGATTGAAAAAACAACAAAAATTAAATTAAATTAAAAACTTACCACGTGAGAAGCGTCCAGTTCTTTCAGGAGTTTCGTACGGATGTGGTCAGAGGTGTATTGGGGCATTTCAACGGTAAATTGGGCCAAGAAACGGGATAATCCGTTCAACGGTTTTATTTTGACAGATGACAGTCTGGGCATGAAATTGGGGCTATTTTCACCGGTTTTGGGACACAAACTAACACAATGACTTTAACGGAAAGAAACAACAACACTTACTATTTTTGGTTACTTTTTAAAACGAATTTCTTCGCTACACGAAACCTGTTTTACCAACCGGATTACAGTAACCTGTATTTAGTCAAACTAATTTATTTTATTTATCACGATTAATTACAAATTAATGCGTGGTAGCAAATAAATGCGTCACAGACCCACTTTTAATGTAAAATTTTGTGATTTAAAAACAGTTAAAGTATGCGCTATTACAGATTTCTGTAATTGAATTTACCAAGATTGTAATTAGTTTTGTTAGTTTCCCACTTGTAATTATAAAATTAATTAATTAAATTAGCTTGGGCTTGATTGTGTGTTGTTTTTCCTCCTCCGCCGCCCCACAAACCATTGACCTTCCATCACAAATTCGCCTAGTCCGTGCCCCCATCTCCATTGCCGCTCCCGGACCCCGGAGCCACCAAACCGGACTACACCTGCCACAGCCAACTCGACATACCTGTTGAATTCAGACGGTGATGGTGATTGTAACAAACAACAGTCTCCATCTGCGTGAAAAACAAGCATTTTCGTGGAAATTGTGGCTTTGGTGGCGGTGTTTCCGGGGAAATTGTGATGTTTGACGTGATTTAGTTGTGATTTTCACGGATTTCCGGGCTTGTGGTAAGTGGGGTGGGGGTGGCGTCTTTTTTGATGGTAATTAGTGGATGATGAAAGTAAATTGAACTTTGGATGAAAAAATCGCGTATGAGTTTCCGGTGTGTTGGATGATGGTCATTAAAGATAAATTAAACGTTATCACGATTTTGTAGGAAATGATGGATTTCTATTTTTTGAGAGTGTTTACGGTTTATTTCGCCTTGATTTTATCTTAAAACGATGAAAAGGCAAGAAGCACGCTCTGAAGGTTTCACTCATTTGTTTGTTTGTTTGTTTGTTTTCTAAACTAATTACAAGATATTTTTCTAATCACAAGTGACGTGTGTTTAACTAATTATTAAATTTATCAAAAATTAGTGTTTTTTTGCTCAAATTAGTTTTTTTTAATTATATAAAGTGTCTCAAATTTTATACACACCTCTATCTAACTAAAAAAAAATTGAAACTGGTGATATACTACACTAAATGACCTATCCGACCTGACTAGAAAAAAAAATTGAATTAAAAACTTGTTAAAATCTGAATTTTTTTTGGGAATTAAGCAAAAATAGAAAAAATAAACTGTACAACATTGCAAAAAATGTTCGCCTATTTGAGAAAATGACAAAAATACAATTTTTTTGCCAAAAATAAGCAGAAAAATTACTAAATAAAGTCAAAATTACACATATTTGTCTTTTTTGTGGAGTTTTTAAACGTTTTTCAGTCAGAAACGCCAATTTTTTCAGAATACTTTATAAAAAATGATGAAATTAAGTCAAAAATGTAACACTTTTTTGCCTTTTTCGGATGTTTTAACCGTTTTAAAGTAAAAACGCAATTATTTAACAAAATTTTGTCTAAAATAGAACAAAAAAATTATTAAATTTTTGTTATTTATTTATTTTTTGAGCGTTTTAGAACGTTTTTAAGTCAAAAACATAATTATTTGCAAAATAGCTCAACAAAATGCAAAAATTTAAATTGAAAAAATTGTTAAAAATTGACTATTTTTTGGGAATTAAGGAAAAGTAAAAAAACAAACTGTACAAAATTGCACAAAATCTTCTCCTATTTGAGAAAATGACTTACGAATTTTTTCACAATTTTAATTTTTTTCGAAAAGTGTTTTAGAAGGGTGAAAATATAAATCGATACACCCGGTAGAATGTCTCAATTATAATACATGTTTCAAACTACGACATTTTTAATTAAAATTCTCTTGTTTTTTATTCCTCAGTGTTGCCAACTTAATTTCCGACTCAAAGGTCACTCTGATCAAAAAAAATTGTTTTTACATGCAAAATCAGCAAATTTAATCAAACGTTTTTCAGTCATAAGCGCCAATTTTTTCAGAATGTTTTATGAAAAATAACATAATCATGAAATCACGTCAAAAATGAGACACTTTTTTGCTTTTTCGGATGTTATTGATACATTACATTATTATTACAATTATTTAACACAATTTTCTCAAAAATAAAACAAATTATCAAATTGGTGTTATTTATTCATTTTTTGAGCATTTTAAAACGTTTTAAGTCAAAAATACATTTTTTTTGCCAAAAACAAGCAGAAAAATTACCAAATAAAGTAAAATAACACATATTTGTCTTTTTTGTGGAGTTTTTAAACGTTTTTCAGTCAGAAACGTCAATTTTTTCAAAATGATGAAATTAAGTAAAAAATGTAACACTTTTTTGCCTTTTTCGGATGTTTTTACCGTTTTAAAGTAAAAACGCAATTATTTAACAAAATTTTGTCTAAAATAGAACAAAAAAATTATTAAAGTTTTGTTATTTATTTATTTTTTGAGCGTTTTAGAACGTTTTTAAGTCAAAAACATAATTATTTGCAAAATAGCTCAACAAAATGCAAAAATTTGAATTGAAAAAATTGTTAAAAATTGACTATTTTTTGGGAATTAAGGAAAAGTAAAAAAACAAAATTGTACAAAATTGCACAAAATGTTCTCCTATTTGACAGAATATCCTACGAATTTTTTCCACAATTTTAATTTTATTAGAAAAGTGTTTTAGAAGGGTTAACAATTAAATACACATTTGAAACTTTCGACATTTTTAATTAAAATTTTTTGTTTTTATATTTCTCAGTGTTTTTTTCAAACTCAGAGGTCACTCTGAAAAAAATGTTTTTAAATGCAAATTCATGTTTTGAATACTTAATAAGCGGTTATAGAAGAAGATTACAAATATTTTCCATCATCTAAACGGAATTTCAAATATTTGTTTTTCGTACAATACTACAAAATAAACACTTGGAAATAACGAAACTGATAAAGGCTGAAAAGCAACAACTCGTGTCTATTTTCAGCTGAAAGAATCTCGATTTCCTTGAAACGGCGCCTTTACAGTTCAATTCCAACAATGACATTTAATTAAAATCACTGAATTTTTTTTCCGGGTCACGTTTCGACGTCGTTTCCGGTCATGCTCATCAATTGATGTATTTTTTGAGGTCTCATTACCATCAAAATGGTGAAAATCAAATTCCAAAGACCTACGACATTTCAAAATTAGAAAACATTTATCTATTAACTGTGTCACAGAGTGGGATGGAAAGAAAAACGTTGAAATAAATTAATTCGTTTTTTAATTTTTAAAATTGTTACTTATTTAATTAAAAAAAAAACAAATAAAAATTATCATCGAAGTGAGCTCTGATTTTGAACTTAACTTGAATATTGTGAAATTTGAGACTTGCCAATTTACGTGTTTCTCAGTGTTGCCAACTCAATTTCAAAATCACTGGTCACTTTGATCAAAAATTATGTCGTAAAGTAATAAATAATATTACATAAAAATGCGATAACTTGACCAAAATACTTCCGGATTGTTGATTAAGGAAGTTGCTAAGATTATATCACTGAGAAATTTTACTGAAAAAATATTGCAAAAAATCTAATTCTACAGGGTGTTAGAAATAGATTGTATAATAAATTTTTACTAGAACTTTGAACAAATTGTAAATAAATATTTCAAAAAACTTTTAATTTTTTATATCCTCGAAACCGTTACTTGAAGCCTTTTTTGTTTATTTTGGTCCTTAAATGGTTTACAATCTTTTTTGAACACCTTGTACTTAACTTTTGACACTTTCTTCACATCATTAAGTATTCAGTGAAATAAATCACAGAAAACGCAAGAAATTATTTCCTCCAAGGAGTGTAAATATCATTACGCCTCCTCCTACTTTTTTGTTCTCGTGCATAAAAAAGAGTATTTGACATTTGAGTGTTTTATTGTTTTTTAACATCCTTTTCGCTCAAGGAAATCGAGAATTTGATGACGACTCAAATGAAGAATCTTCAAAATCTCCGGATTATTAATTCTTCATTTCGCAAGTTATTTAACGCAATTAAAATTTAAACAATGGCTATTGCAATGAGAATCGTGGGTATTAAGCTATTGTTCAGTTGGCGTTATGAAACGACACTATGAAAACACAAAAAAATATTAATACGAAATTTGCAACAGCAATGAAGTAAAACTTTTACAAGATGATTTATTCAAGGTGAAACGATAATCACTGAAAAAATTTTCGACAAGTTTCAATTAATTTTACCTTCTCTAAAATCGTGATTCACTCTCACTCGAAAAATTGGTATGTAAAAAATAGCGTTTTCACTAGAAATTATCTTGAAATAATTAATTCAAATAATTGTAGTTTGCAAGAAAGACAATGAGACAACTACCAACAAATTCTGGTCATTTTAATTAAAAAC